TGTGTTACAGAGTGTGTGTGTTAGTGTGTGTTACAGTGTGTGTGTTAGTGTGTGTTACAGAGTGTGTGTTACAGAGTGTGTGTGTTACAGAGTGTGTGTGTTACAGAGTGTGTTACAGAGTGTGGGTTAGTGTGTGTTACAGAGTGTGTGTGTTACAGAGTGTGTGTGTTACAGAGTGTGTGTGTTAGTGTGTGTTACAGAGTGTGTGTGTTACAGAGTGTGTGTGTTACAGTGTGTGTGTGTTACAGTGTGTGTGTGTTACAGAGTGTGTGTGTTACAGAGTGTGTGTGTTACAGTGTGTGTGTGTTACAGAGTGTGTGTTAGTGTGTTACAGAGTGTGTGTTAGTGTGTTACAGAGTGTGTGTGTTAGAGTGTGTGTTACAGAGTGTGTGTTACAGAGTGTGTGTTACAGAGTGTGTGTTAGTGTGTTACAGAGTGTGTGTGTGTTACAGAGTGTGTGTTAGTGTGTTACAGAGTGTGTGTGTGTTACAGAGTGTGTGTTAGTGTGTTACAGAGTGTGTGTGTTACAGAGTGTGTGTTACAGAGTGTGTGTTAGTGTGTGTGTTACAGAGTGTGTGTTAGTGTGTTACAGAGAGTGTGTTACAGAGTGTGTGTTACAGAGTGTGTGTTAGTGTGTGTGTTAGAGTGTGTGTTAGTGTGTGTTACAGAGTGTGTGTGTTAGTGTGTGTTACAGAGTGTGTGTGTTACAGAGTGTGTGTTAGTGTGTGTTACAGAGTGTGTGTTAGTGTGTGTTAGAGTGTGTGTGTGTGTTAGTGTGTGTTACAGAGTGTGTGTGTTAGTGTGTGTTACAGAGTGTGTGTTAGTGTGTGTTACAGAGTGTGTGTTAGTGTGTGTTAGAGTGTGTGTTAGTGTGTGTTACAGAGTGTGTGTGTTAGTGTGTGTTACAGAGTGTGTGTGTTACAGAGTGTGTGTTAGTGTGTGTGTTACAGAGTGTGCGTGTTACAGTGTGTGTGTGTTACAGAGTGTGTGTGTTACAGAGTGTGTGTGTTACAGAGTGTGTGTGTTACAGAGTGTGTGTTACAGAGTGTGTGTTACAGAGTGTGTGTGTTACAGAGTGTGTGTGTTACAGAGTGTGTGTGTGTTACAGAGTGTGTGTGTGTTACAGAGTGTGTGTTACAGAGTGTGTGTGTTACAGTGTGTGTGTGTTACAGAGTGTGTGTGTTACAGAGTGTGTGTGTGTTACAGAGTGTTTGTGTTACAGAGTGTGTGTGTGTGTTACAGAGAGTGTGTGTTACAGTGTGTGTGTTACAGAGTGTGTGTGTGTTACAGAGTGTGTGTGTTACAGAGTGTGTGTGTGTGTGAAACAGAGTGTGTGTGTTACAGAGTGTGTGTGCGTTACAGAGTGTGTGTGTGCGTTACAGAGTGTGTGTGTTACAGAGTGTGTGTGTTACAGAGTGTGTGTGTTACAGAGTGTGTGTGTTACAGAGTGTGTGTGTTACAGAGTGTGTGTTACAGAGTGTGTGTTACAGAGTGTGTGTTACAGAGTGTGTGTGTTACAGAGTGTGTGTGTTACAGAGTGTGTGTTACAGAGTGTGTGTTACAGAGTGTGTGTTACAGAGTGTGTGTGTTACAGAGTGTGTGTTACAGAGTGTGTGTTACAGAGTGTGTGTGTTACAGAGTGTGTGTGTTACAGAGTGTGTGTGTGTGTGTGTTACAGAGTGTGTGTTACAGAGTGTGTGTGTTACAGTGTGCGTGTTACAGAGTGTGTGTGTTACAGAGTGTGTGTGTTACAGTGTGCGTGTTACAGAGTGTGCGTGTTACAGAGTGTGCGTGTTACAGAGTGTGCGTGTTACAGTGTGTGTGTTACAGAGTGTGTGTGTTACAGAGTGTGTGTTACAGAGTGTGTGTGTTACAGAGTGCGTGTTACAGAGTGTGTGTGTTACAGAGTGCGTGTTACAGAGTGTGCGTGTTACAGAGTGTGCGTGTTACAGAGTGTGCGTGTTACAGTGTGTGTGTGTGTGTGTGTTACAGAGTGTGTGTTACAGAGTGTGTGTGTTACAGTGTGCGTGTTACAGAGTGTGCGTGTTACAGTGTGTGTGTTACAGAGTGTGTGTGTTACAGAGTGTGTGTTACAGAGTGTGTGTGTTACAGAGTGTGTGTGTTACAGAGTGTGTGTGTGTGTGTTACAGAGTGTGTGTTACAGAGTGTGTGTGTGTTACAGAGTGTGTGTTAGAGTGTGTGTGTTACAGAGTGTGTGTGTTACAGAGTGTGTGTGTTACAGTGTGTGTGTTACAGAGTGTGCGTGTTACAGAGTGTGCGTGTTACAGTGTGTGTGTTACAGAGTGTGTGTTACAGAGTGTGTGTGTTACAGAGTGTGTGTGTTACAGAGTGTGTGTGTTACAGTGTGTGTGTTACAGAGTGTGTGTGTTACAGAGTGTGTGTGTTACAGAGTGTGTGTTAGTGTGTGTGTTACAGAGTGTGTGTTACAGTGTGTGCGTTACAGAGTGTGTGTTACAGAGTGTGTGTTAGTGTGTGTGTTACAGAGTGTGTGTTACAGAGTGTGTGTTACAGAGTGTGTGTGTTACAGAGTGTGTGTTACAGAGTGTGTGTTACAGAGTGTGTGTTAGTGTGTGTGTTACAGAGTGTGTGTTACAGAGTGTGTGTTAGTGTGTGTGTTACAGAGTGTGTGTTACAGAGTGTGTGTTACAGAGTGTGTGTGTTACAGAGTGTGTGTTACAGAGTGTGTGTGTTACAGAGTGTGTGTGTTACAGAGTGTGTGTGTTACAGAGTGTGTGTGTTACAGAGTGTGTGTTACAGTGTGTGAATTCTTGGAGCAGAATAATGTTTAAAACAGTCTCGTCTGTGGATCTACTTCCTGTGAGGACAGGGTTAGGGTCGTGTTTCCATGACGACGTTGTCCAGCTTTAACTGTTTCTTTAACTGTAAACACTAGTCCCACAACTCTCTACCTTTTGTTTTCTCTCCTTTGTCCGCTCTCTCTCTCTCTCTCCCTCCCCCTCTTCTCTCTCCCCCTCTTTCCCTCCCCCTCTTCTCGCTCTCCCTCTCTCTCTCCCCCTCTTTCCCTCCCCCTCTCTCTCTCCCCCTCTTTCCCTCCCCCTCTCTCTCTCCCCCTCTTCTCTCTCCCCCTCTTCTCTCTCCCCCTCTCTCTCTCCCCCCTCTCTCTCTCCCCCTCTTCTCTCCCCCCTCTCTCTCTCCCCCCTCTCTCTCTCCCCCTCTCTCCCCCCCCTCTCTCCCTCCCCCCTCTCTCTCTCCCCCCTCTTTCCCTCCCCCTCTCTCTCTCCCCCTCTTTCCCTCCCCCTCTTTCCCTCCCCCTCTCTCTCTCCCCCTCTTCTCTCTCCCCCTCTTCTCTCTCCCCCTCTTTCCCTCCCCCTCTCTCTCTCCCCCTCTTCTCTCTCCCCCTCTCTCTCTCCCCCTCTCTCTCTCCCCCTCTCTCTCTCCCCCTCTTCTCTCCCCCCTCTCTCTCTCCCCCCTCTCTCTCTCCCCCTCTTTCCCTCCCCCTCTTCTCTCTCCCCCTCTTCTCTCTCCCCCTCTTCTCTCTCCCCCTCTCTCTCCCCCCTCTCTCTCTCCCCCTCTCTCCCTCCCCCTCTTCTCTCCCCCCCTCTCTCTCTCCCCCCTCTCTCTCTCCCCCTCTCTCCCTCCCCCTCTTCTCTCTCCCCCTCTTTCCCTCCCCCTCTCTCTCTCCCCCTCTTTCCCTCCCCCTCTTTCCCTCCCCCTCTCTCTCTCCCCCTCTTCTCTCTCCCCCTCTTCTCTCTCCCCCTCTTTCCCTCCCCCTCTCTCTCTCCCCCTCTTCTCTCTCCCCCCTCTTCTCTCTCCCCCTCTTTCCCTCCCCCTCTTTCCCTCCCCCTCTTCTCTCTCCCCCTCTTCTCTCTCCCCCTCTCTCTCTCCCCCTCTCTCTCCCCCTCTCTCTCTCCCCCTCTCTCCCTCCCCCTCTTCTCTCCCCCCTCTCTCTCTCCCCCCCTCTCTCTCTCCCCCTCTCTCTCTCCCCCTCTTCTCTCTCCCCCTCTCTCTCTCCCCCTCTCTCTCTCCCCCCCTCTCTCCCTCCCCCTCTTCTCTCCCCCCCTCTCTCTCTCCCCCCTCTTCTCTCTCCCCCTCTTCTCTCTCCCCCTCTTTCCCTCCCCCTCTTCTCTCTCCCCCTCTTCTCTCTCCCCCTCTTCTCTCTCTCTCTCTCTCCCCCTCTTTCCCTCCCCCTCTTCTCTCTCCCCCCTCTCTCTCTCCCCCTCTTCTCTTTGTATGTATCTTGTAACTTCTTGTTGTCGTTAAACGTCTTTGTTTTGACCTCTTTCTATGAAACAGAGTTTTATTTAAACGTTGGATAAACTTTGTTCATATAAAAAACACCACAAAATACAAATGTTTGGCTTTTTATTCTGAGTCGAGCTGCTGCGGTCTGGGTTCAATCATCCTGTAAAAGATAATTACAAACTGTTAGTGCCGTCTTCTTTTCCTAGGATGATGTAGGAACACAGTTCTTTCCCTAGGATGCTGTAGGAACACAGTTCTTTCCCTAGGATGCTGTAGGAACACAGTTCTTTTCCTAGGATGCTGTAGGAACACAGTTCTTTTCCTAGGATGCTGTAGGAACACAGTTCTTTCCCTAGGATGCTGTAGGACCACAGTTCTTTTCCTAGGATGCTATAGGACCACAGTTCTTTTCCTAGGATGCTATAGGACCACAGTTCTTTTCCTAGGATGCTGTAGGACCACAGTTCTTTTCCTAGGATGCTGTAGGAACACAGTTCTTTTCCTAAGATGCTGTAGGAACACAGTTCTTTCCCTAGGATGCTGTAGGAACACAGTTCTTTCCCTAGGATGCTGTAGGAACACAGTTCTTTCCCTAGGATGCTGTAGGACCACAGTTCTTTCCCTAGGATGCTGTAGGAACACAGTTCTTTCCCTAGGATGCTGTAGGAACACAGTTCTTTCCCTAGGATGCTGTAGGACCACAGTTCTTTCCCTAGGATGCTATAGGAACACAGTTCTTTTCCTAGGATGCTCTAGGAACACATCACCTTCATGTTGTCCTCCACCCACTCCACCACTTGTGTGATCCGTGTGTAGACCCCGGGTTTGTACCGTCGGCCACAGCCCTCTCCCCAGCTGACCACTCCTGCCAGTCTCCACTCCCCCAGGGCTGTCTGACACACCAGGGGCCCCCCACTGTCCCCCTGTGAGACACACACATTCTTTATATAAATAGATAAATAAATATGTACTTATTTATTTAACAATGTATTCATCGATCCTCCCAGACTCCCACACACAAGACAACACAACACACAAGACAACACAACACACAAGACAACACAACACACAAGACAACACAAGACAACACAACACACAAGACAACACAACGCACAAAACAACACAACGCACAAGACAACACAACACACAAAACAACACAACACACAAGACAACACAACACACAAGACAACACAACACACAAGACAACACAACGCACAAAACAACACAACGCACAAGACAACACAACACACAAAACAACACAACACACAAGACAACACAACACACAAGACAACACAACACACAAATCATTCAGGTTTTCCTCTTTCTCCAATATCCCCTCTCTCTTCCCTCCTCTCTCTCTCTCTCTCCCTCTCTCTCCCCCCTCCCTCTCTCTCTCCCCCCTCCCTCTGTACCTGGCAGGAGTCCACCCCTCCCTCTCTCTCCCTCCCCCTTCTCTCTCCCTCCCCCCCCTCTCTCTCTCCCCCCCTCCCTCTGTACCTGGCAAGAGTCCACCCCTCTCTCTCTCTCTCCCCCCTCCCTCTCTCTCCCCCCTCTCTCTCTCCCCCCTCCCTCTGTACCTGGCAAGAGTCCACCCTCTCTCTCTCTCCCCCCCTCCCTCTCTCTCTCTCTCTCCCCCCTCTCTCTCCCTCCCCCCCTCCCTCTCTCTCTCCCCCCTCCCTCTGTACCTGGCAGGAGTCCACCCCTCCCTCTCTCTCCCTCCCCCCTCCCTCTCTCTCCCCCCTCCCTCTCTCTCTCCCCCCTCCCTCTGTACCTGGCAGGAGTCCACCCCTCCCCTCCATGCTTCCAGCACACATCATGCGAGGGGTGAGGAAGACCCCGTAGACGTGAGGTCGTGAGCACAGACTCTGAGCGATCACTGTGACCTCAGCTTCTCTTAAATCTGTCATAATGAAACCTGCACAAGAAGAAAAAATAAAACATCATCACAGCCGGAAACAAGTCGTTATCAAACTGTCAGGGCCTCGGGTCGGGGCCTCGTGTCAGAGCCTCGTGTCAGAGCCTCGTGTCAGAGCCTCGTGTCAGGGCCTCGTGTCAGGGCCTCGTGTCAGGGCCTCGTGTCAGAGCCTCGTGTCAGGGCCTCGTGTCAGAGCCTCGTGTCAGAGCCTCGTGTCAGGGCCTCGTGTCAGGGCCTCGTGTCAGGGCCTCGTGTCAGAGCCTCGTGTCAGGGCCTCGTGTCAGGGCCTCGTGTCAGGGCCTCGTGTCAGAGCCTCGTGTCAGGGCCTCGTGTCAGGGCCTCGTGTCAGGGCCTCGTGTCAGAGCCTCGTGTCAGGGCCTCGTGTCAGGGCCTCGTGTCAGAGCCTCGTGTCAGAGCCTCGTGTCAGAGCCTCGTGTCAGAGCCTCGTGTCAGGGCCTCGTGTCAGAGCCTCGTGTCAGGGCCTCGTGTCAGAGCCTCGTGTCAGAGCCTCGTGTCAGGGCCTCGTGTCAGGGCCTCGTGTCAGGGCCTCGTGTCAGGGCCTCGTGTCAGAGCCTCGTGTCAGGGCCTCGTGTCAGAGTGGTCTGGATCATAAAACAGGTTTTCTCTGAATTGTGATATTGGACTCATCCACCTTTAAACAGGGAGTCACGGGGAATGGGCCAGAATTCCAGCCTCAGTCCTGGATCTACAGCCTCAGTCCTGGGTCTACAGCCTCGGTCCTGGGTCCACAGCCTCAGTCCTGGGTCTACAGTCTCAGTCCTGGGTCTACAGCCTCAGTCCTGGGTCTACAGCCTCAGTCCTGGGTCTACAGCCTCAGTCCTGGGTCTACAGCCTCAGTCCTGGGTCCACAGCCTCAGTCCTGGGTCCACAGCCTCAGTCCTGGGTCTACAGCCTCGGTCCTGGGTCCACAGCCTCGGTCCTGGGTCCACAGCCTCAGTCCTGGGTCTACAGCCTTAGTCCTGGGTCCACAGCCTCGGTCCTGGGTCCACAGCCTCAGTCCTGGGTCTACAGTCTCAGTCCTGGGTCTACAGTCTCAGTCCTGGGTCCACAGCCTCAGTCCTGGGTCTACAGCCTCGGTCCTGGGTCTACAGCCTCAGTCCTGGGTCTACAGCCTCAGTCCTGGGTCCACAGCCTCGGTCCTGGGTCCACAGCCTCAGTCCTGGGTCTACAGTCTCAGTCCTGGGTCTACAGTCTCAGTCCTGGGTCCACAGCCTCAGTCCTGGGTCCACAGCCTCAGTCCTGGGTCTACAGCCTCAGTCCTGGGTCCACAGCCTCGGTCCTGGGTCCACAGCCTCAGTCCTGGGTCTACAGTCTCAGTCCTGGGTCTACAGCCTCAGTCCTGGGTCTACAGCCTCAGTCCTGGGTCCACAGCCTCAGTCCTGGGTCCACAGCCTCAGTCCTGGGTCTACAGCCTCAGTCCTGGGTCTACAGCCTCAGTCCTGGGTCCACAGCCTCAGTCCTGGGTCCACAGCCTCAGTCCTGGGTCTACAGCCTCAGTCCTGGGTCTACAGCCTCAGTCCTGGGTCTACAGCCTCAGTCCTGGGTCTACAGTCTCAGTCCTGGGTCCACAGCCTCAGTCCTGGGTCTACAGCCTCAGTCCTGGGTCTACAGCCTCAGTCCTGGGTCTACAGCCTCAGTCCTTCACCTCCTTCCATGACGTGGCCCCAGCCTGTGATCCAGCACTTGGCTCCGGTGGGGAAAGACTCGCTCGCTCTTGGCAAACACACCGGTCGCACACCATCTACAAATGTTACACAACATTACACTTCATGATGAGACAGCACACCCTCTACACACTCTTCAGACCTACATTCATCACTGAACCTTAAAACTGTCTTAATCCCTGCACTTTATTGGCTGCTGCCTGAAAAGACCTCTGTGGCCTGCACTGTCTGCATTCTGCCAGCAGGGGGCGCCAGATCCACTCCGACTAACAGTTTATTCTAGTGTAGTCTGTAAATGCAAACAGGACACCTAAAACATGACTATGATGTGATTGTTATAATGAAAATCTAATTGTTAAACAATAAAACTGTATGTCCCTGCAGCATATTAACCCCAACATGACCATACCTGACTTTACCAGACCATACCAGACCATACCAGACCATACCTGACCATACCAGACCATACCTGACTATACCGGACTATTGATTGATTTGATTGATTTGATTTGTTTTATTCGCACATATTAAAATCATTTTTTAATACAATAGAACAAGAAAATATATATGTTGGGGGAAGAAAAAAAGCCATAATGGCTCATACAGGGTCTTCCCCCACCTAAATTAACAAAAAATATCATAAATCTAACAATTCTTAAAATAATTATAGTAGTAAATAATAACAAGTCTTATACATCAAATCATAGCATAACTTGATACCAAAATGATAAAGATTAGAGAGTCAATCGCAGTTAAACAAAAATAACAATAATGTAACAATTCATAACATAATTTTAGTAATAAATAAAAACTATAAAAAAAAATTGAAATTCAACTTAGAGGGCTGAGACATGAAAGTAGGTGGATTTTGAGATTTAGTTTGAAGCAATTCAAGGATGTAATACTTTTCAGGTGTAGAGGGAGGTCGTTCCAATTAATCACACATTTGTATTGTACACTATTTTGAGCTATACCTGACTACACCAGACCATACCAGCCTACCAGACCAGAACAGACCATACCAGACCATACCATACCAGACCAAAGCAGACCATACCATACCTGACCATACCAGACCATACCAGCCAATACCTGACCAAACCAGACCAGACCAGACCATGACAGACCTCCTTGGCCTGCACTACCCATCTCCCCCAGCAGGTGGCAGACCTCCGTGGCCTGCACTACCCTTCTCCCCCAGCAGGTGGTGGCAGACCTCCGTGGCCTGCACTACCCTTCTCCCCCAGCAGGTGGTGGCAGACCTCCGTGGCCTGCACTACCCTTCTCCCCCAGCAGGTGGCAGACCTCCGTGGCCTGCACTACCCTTCTCCCCCAGCAGGTGGTGGCAGACCTCCGTGGCCTGCACTACCCTTCTCCCCCAGCAGGTGGCAGACCTCCGTGGCCTGCACTACCCTTCTCCCCCAGCAGGTGGTGGCAGACCTCCGTGGCCTGCACTACCCTTCTCCCCCAGCAGGTGGCAGACCTCCGTGGCCTGCACTACCCTTCTCCCCCAGCAGGTGGTGGCAGACCTCCGTGGCCTGCAGTACCTTTCTCCCCCAGCAGGTGGTGGCAGACCTCCGTGGCCTGCACTACCCTTCTCCCCCAGCAGGTGGCAGACCTCCGTGGCCTGCACTACCCTTCTCCCCCAGCAGGTGGCAGACCTCCGTGGCCTGCAGTACCCTTCTCCCCCAGCAGGTGGTGGCAGACCTCCGTGGCCTGCACTACCCTTCTCCCCCAGCAGGTGGTGGCAGACCTCCGTGGCCTGCAGTACCTTTCTCCCCCAGCAGGTGGTGGCAGACCTCCGTGGCCTGCAGTACCTTTCTCCCCCAGCAGGTGGTGGCAGACCTCCGTGGCCTGCAGTACCTTTCTCCCCCAGCAGGTGGCGGCAGACTCACCTCTCAGGTCCATGTGTGTGACTGTCTGCATCAGGCCCAGGTCATAGTCGTTGTTCACAGAGTTATATTTAGGATGAGACAGAAGCTGGAGGCCTCGGTACCGACGCTTCATCCCAGAACTCTCCCCGATCACCACAGAGTTCACCAGGACCTGCCACTCTGACACCTCCTCCATCCCCAGGCTGAGGAAGAAGAGGAAGATTCAATTAAAGCTGCAAGCGGCGTTGAACGGCCCTCGACGAGTTGAACTGAGTCAAGTTTAGTACAAATCAGACTTTGTATGTGTAAACAGGAGCACACACACACACACATGGATCATTAGAGTCTGTGTCTTACTCTACGAAGCAGTGAGCGGCGGTGATGACCCAGCGATCGGAGACAACGGCGCCTCCACAGACGTGCTTCCCTCCCCACTGCAGACTGACCTGCCACGCCCACTCTCCTCTGGACGCCAGGGTCCCGCCTACAATCCTGTGGGCGGGGCTTAGAGAAGAGAGACAGTCTGTGGAGAGAGAGGACAAGGTCTACAGAAGGACTGGGTCTACAGAGGGACAGGGTCTACAGAAGGTCTGGGTCTACAGAAGGACTGGGTCTACAGAGGGACAGGGTCTACAGATAGACTGGGTCTACAGAAGGTCTGGGTCTACAGAAGGTCTGGGTCTACAGAAGGACTGGGTCTACAGAGGGACAGGGTCTACAGAAGGTCTGGGTCTACAGAAGGTCTGGGTCTACAGAAGGTCTGGGTCTACAGAGGGACAGGGTCTACAGATAGACTGGGTCTACAGAAGGTCTGGGTCTACAGAAGGTCTGGGTCTACAGAGGGACTGGGTCTACAGAAGGTCTGGGTCTACAGAAGGTCTGTGTCTACAGAAGGTCTGGGTCTACAGAAGGTCTGGGTCTACAGAAGGTCTGGGTCTACAGAAGGACTGGGTCTACAGAAGGTCTGGGTCTACAGAAGGTCTGGGTCTACAGAAGGTCTGGGTCTACAGAAGGTCTGGGTCTACAGAAGGTCTGGGTCTACAGAAGGTCTGGGTCTACAGAGGGACTGGGTCTACAGAAGGTCTGGGTCTACAGAAGGTCTGGGTCTACAGAAGGTCTGGGTCTACAGAAGGACTGGGTCTACAGAGGGACAGGGTCTACAGATAGACTGGGTCTACAGAAGGTCTGGGTCTACAGAAGGTCTGGGTCTACAGAAGGACTGGGTCTACAGAGGGACAGGGTCTACAGAAGGTCTGGGTCTACAGAAGGTCTGGGTCTACAGAAGGTCTGGGTCTACAGAGGGACAGGGTCTACAGATAGACTGGGTCTACAGAAGGTCTGGGTCTACAGAAGGTCTGGGTCTACAGAGGGACTGGGTCTACAGAAGGTCTGGGTCTACAGAAGGTCTGTGTCTACAGAAGGTCTGGGTCTACAGAAGGTCTGGGTCTACAGAAGGTCTGGGTCTACAGAAGGACTGGGTCTACAGAAGGTCTGGGTCTACAGAAGGTCTGGGTCTACAGAAGGTCTGGGTCTACAGAAGGTCTGGGTCTACAGAAGGTCTGGGTCTACAGAAGGTCTGGGTCTACAGAGGGACTGGGTCTACAGAAGGTCTGGGTCTACAGAAGGTCTGGGTCTACAGAAGGTCTGGGTCTACAGAAGGTCTGGGTCTACAGAAGGTCTGGGTCTACAGAAGGACTGGGTCTACAGAAGGTCTGGGTCTACAGAAGGTCTGGGTCTACAGAAGGTCTGGGTCTACAGAAGGTCTGGGTCTACAGAAGGTCTGGGTCTACAGAAGGTCTGGGTCTACAGAAGGTCTGGGTCTACAGAAGGTCTGGGTCTACAGAAGGTCTGGGTCTACAGAAGGTCTGGGTCTACAGAAGGTCTGGGTCCATGCTGCTGCAGGAGGTGTTGGACCAGAGGAGGCTAGAGGCCACTTGTTCTGTGTTTCTTTAGATTCTTGGTTTTGTTTGAAATAAATAACGGTCCTATAGTTCATCAGACCTGTCCAGGGGCCGACACCGTGAAACGACGGGTTTGATTCACAGATACACACTATAGCATAAAATGCACCGACAAAAGTGATAACGAAAATAAAAAATATAATAATAATAATAATGATAATATCAATAATAATAATAACAATATTAATAATAAGCAAAGGAAGGTTTCTCACCCATCATCTGTTCTTCTGCAAGTTTTCCCGACGTTTCGTCCTCAAACCAAAGGACTTCTTCTGGGAATGAATTCTCGGACCGCGTGTTGGAGATTTATAACCTATGGGTGTGGTTAGCCACGCCCTAATCCTGATACTAACTCATAAACAATCTAAGGTCTGATGTAGAAGGGAGCAGGTCTAACGACCCTGCTGAGGCTAACGACCCTAACTCATTAGCATGTCACTGACCTATTGTCTGCTGGGATGCTCCAGTGGAGTGCAGGTCTCACCCCTCCTAACTCATTAGCATGTCACAGACCTATTGTCTGCTGGGATGCTCAAGTGGAGTGCAGGTCTAACGACCCTAACTCATTAGCATGTCACTGACCTTGTCCCAAGTTAGGGCGTTGTTTTTAGGATGTCGTCATAGATGCGAGGCAAAACAAATCTTAACCCTCCTCCTCTGTTAAGAGAAGGTTTTTGTTTCCTCACAAAAATGGCTTCTTTCACCCCTCTCTCAAACCAATTCTTCTCCAGAGCCAGAATGTTAACCTCTGTGTCATCCACCGTGTGGTTGGAGGCCTTGAGGTGGAGATGAACAGCCGACTGTGGCCCACTAGAGTTTTCTCTACGATGTTGGTAAAGTCGTTTCTGTAGAGTCTGTTTGGTTTCTCCAATATAGTGGTCCGTGCACTCCTCTTCACTACATTTAATTGAATACACCACATTGCTCTGTTTGTGTCTGGGTGTTTTGTCTTTGGGATGCACTAATTTCTGTCTTAACGTGTTGAAAGGTTTGAAATACACAGGGATTTTGTGTTGCCTAAAGATTCTTTGTAGTTTCTCTGAAACTCCCGCCACATACGGTAAGGACACCCCTCTCCTCCTACTTTCTTCTGTCTGTTGGACTGTGTCTCTGGCCTTTCTCGTCCTTTGGGCTTTAGTAAAAGACCACTTGGGGTAGCCACATCTGGAAAGTGCTCTCTGAACATGTTTGGTTCCCTGATTCCCGGACTTCATTCCCTGAAGAAGTCCTTAGGATTGAGGACGAAACGTCGGGAAAACTTGCTAAGAAGTACAGATGATGGTGAGAAACCTTCCTTTGCTTTGACTAATCCCTGTACGACTGAGAGCTTACACAAACAGATATTAATAATAATCACAGATCCATGATGAAAAATAAGTTACAAAATTCTCACATTTGCCAAAATATACGTTAGTTTTACCTCTTACTTGACCGTTTATGGACCAATACCATGTGTTCTATATTCTACAACATGTATGATATTTATCAACATGTGTGACATTTATCACATGTGTGACATTTATCAACATGTGTGACATTTATCAACATGTGTGACATTTATCACATGTGTGACATTTATCAAAATGTATGACATTTATCACATGTATGACATTTATCACATGTATGACATTTATCACATGTATGACATTTAACAACATGTATGACATTTATCACATGTGTGACATTTATCACATGTGTGACATTTATCACATGTGTGACATTTATCAACACGTATGACATTTATCACATGTGTGACATTTATCAACATGTGTGACATTTATCACATGTATGACATTTATCACATGTGTGACATTTATCACATGTGTGACATTTATCACATGTGTGACATTTATCAACATGTATGACATTTATCACATGTATGACATTTATCACATGTGTGACATTTATCACATGTGTGACATTTATCACATGTGTGACATTTATCAACATGTATGACATTTATCACATGTATGACATTTATCACATGTATGACATTTATCAACATGTATGACATTTATCACATGTGTGACATTTATCACATGTATGACATTTATCACATGTATGACATTTATCAACATGTATGACATTTATCACATGTGTGACATTTATCAACATGTATGACATTTATCACATGTATGACATTTATCACATGTATGACATTTATCACATGTATGACATTTATCACATGTGTGACATTTATCACATGTGTGACATTTATCAACACGTATGACATTTATCACATGTGTGACATTTATCAACATGTGTGACATTTATCACATGTATGACATTTATCACATGTGTGACATTTATCACATGTGTGACATTTATCACATGTGTGACATTTATCAACATGTATGACATTTATCACATGTATGACATTTATCACATGTGTGACATTTATCACATGTGTGACATTTATCACATGTGTGACATTTATCAACATGTATGACATTTATCACATGTATGACATTTATCACATGTATGACATTTATCACATGTGTGACATTTATCAACATGTATGACATTTATCACATGTATGACATTTATTACATGTATGACATTTATCAACATGTGTGACATTTATCACATGTGTGACATTTATCACATGTGTGACATTTATCAACATGTATGACATTTATCACATGTGTGACATTTATCAACATTTATGACATTTATCACATGTATGACATTTATCAACATGTGTGACATTTATCAACATGTGTGACATTTATCACATGTGTGACATTTATCAACATGTATGACATTTATCACATGTGTGAGATTTATCACATGTATGACATGTATCAACATGTGTGACATTTATCAACATGTATGACATTTATCAACATGTATGACATTTATCAACATGTATGACATTTATCAACATGTGTGACATTTATCACATGTATGACATGTATCAACATGTGTGACATTTATCAACATGTATGACATTTATCACATGTATGACATTTATCACATGTATGACATTTATCAACATGTGTGACATTTATCAACATGTATGACATTTATCAACATGTATGACATTTATCAACATGTGTGACATTTATCACATGTGTGACATTTATCAACATGTGTGACATTTATCACATGTATGACATGTATCAACATGTGTGACATTTATCACATGTATGACATTTATCACATGTATGACATTTATCACATGTATGACATTTATCAACATGTATGACATTTATCACATGTATGACATTTATCAACATGTGTGACATTTATCAACATGTGTGACATTTATCACATGTATGACATTTATCAACATGTGTGACATTTATCAACATGTATAACATTTATCAACATGTATGAGA